GGGGGGGGGGGGAGGAGCTGATGTGCATTCTGTTTAAAGGATTAGTGCATGTTATTGTCTTTATATAAATGTATATAAGAATGATTTCCATTTGGTTTAACTTTGGCTTAACAAATTCATGATCGGCCATGTTTGGTCAGTAGCTGATGTACTTATCTTCTTTTTAACGGTGTACTATAAAAAACCCTGCCTTTATTACATGGACATTCTGTATTCATTGACCACCATGAATAGCATGGTCGCCTAGTCTACGGTGTAGACCCCAGCAGAAACACGTTTCGTGAGGGGTCTACGAATAAACGAAGAAAAGCTTGCCCAGCCTACGTCACGAAACGTGTTTCTGCTGGGGTCTACATCGTATAGGCTAATGGTTGCCACGCTCAACTGGGAACCAGGCGTTGCGAGATTACTATTAGTCACATGCTTAGCTCAGTTGGATAACAGGAAAGCATGTACCAGTAATTACCAGTAATAATAATAGACCAGCCTTGTTAGTCGTTTTCTTGTATTATTTAATTGAATGTACTGAGATTTTTATGAGGTCGTTCTATGAGGAAATATAATATTTCTTTGTGGTAAGAAACTCATCTCGATCAACTTTTTCACTGTCAACGTTCACTGTCGAAGTTGCCGGATATGATGCGATTAGATGTCCTTAGCAGCAAAAGACAAAGGCAAACTAATTGGCAATACATCTATAAATATCTAATGACATCATAAAATTGCTGAAAATGAAGTTTTATTAGGTATTACATACAAACAATTACTCTCAAGCTGAAATTACTTTTGGGCTTAGTGGCACATTTCCTATCCTCACCTTATACACATGGTTATCTTTGGGTAATATAATAGTCAAATTCCAAAAGTAAATAGATGTTCTCGCCTTACGTCATCGCTCCCATGTTGGATGAAATTTTGTTTGTTTGAAATTCTCATTTTACCCAACATGGCGAAAAACATGGTCCTCTGCCCTTTGAATCCCTGGGGCATGAAATTTACCATCGATGATTCGGGAAAACCACGCGTGCATAAGTGATCACGCATACATGATGACGACAACATAAAGATTCTCCGTAAATAATCAAGGGCGGATTATTAGCATGAGTTGGATCGGACCATAGAAATATTAGACCTAGAATGCGTGCTTGGTCACGTGACCGGTGTCCAAACTGAAAACAAAAATGCCCTTATAAATCCGCCATGTTGAATTTGAGTAGGAGTGCAAACAAGGTCTCCTATATCTAAGGTGCAAACTACAAGTATAAACAAAACTAAAACAATAAAGTTTTCATCGTCAAAACGTTTGGTATTTGTAGTTTGGGGATAGAATTTGAAATATTAAGTTCTTTAAAGGCTCAAAGCAAATGTGCCGTTACAAAAACGGTGAAAATCGTGCAGCCTTGTATAAAAAACAAGTAGTTTTTTCGTGTAGTTTCGCGTATAAAATATAACTTACTCATAAAACATTTTTGCAAGCTCTGAACGTAACTGTTTTGCTAATACTTTATAAAATTACGAGATGATAGTTCATTCTTCGTCGGGTTTTGTTTTTCTTCAATCTAAACGAAGTGTTTTCATGTTTTTGAAACAAAAATATTTAGTTGTTGATATTTAAAACTGTAAATCGCCTAAATGATCGTCGAAAACATATGGTTTCAAAAGCGTTGCCTCAAGCTCAAGCAACGTATAAAAAAGTATAAAAAGTAGTTGTGTAAGTTTAAAAAGATTATTGAACTCTATTTATATTATAAAACAGTTGAAATATATTTTTTAAAACATACCTATTGAGTTTCAGTTTGTATTGATTTTTCGTGTTTTGTTTTGGCTTGCACAACAACGTTGAAAATGTATTTTGAAACGACGATTTCTCTATATATTCTGTTCAGAACTATTGCTCTTCGTAAAAAAACCCACGGGAATGGGTTTTTCTCCATTAAAAACACTTTTTTTCCACTTCAAGTCTGGATAGAATTGTTTTTGCAAACTTTATTGAAAAAAACAATTCGCACTCCCGGCACCGCGCGAAATTCCACGCCACAGGAGTCTGGGACTAGCCAAAATGCCCTTATAAATCCGCCATTTTGTGGAGACAAAATTTTTACTGAGAAGAGATAGGAGCACGCATTCTATGTCTATTATTTCTATGGATCGGACTTTACGCCCATATGACGTAATTGAAGCAAGTACACAAAAATGCTACTTTTCCTATATTCATTCATATATTTTGTTACAATGTATAATGCATGCAGCCGGAGAATAACGCTGAAAAAATACTATTAAACCACCATTGTATACGTTACTAGGCGCATTAGACAACGATACTGTATTTTGGTTTTGAAATAATCCTTGTTTTATTGAAGATTTGTTTAATATACGAGTTTGACTGTTTATACGAGTCGAGTCGTTTGCGACCTAAGCCTCTTTTCTACTCATCGCAAGAGTAAGCTGGCTGCGAGTACTTTTATCCAACCACAATGCTCGAAGACAGGTTTTATAAATTTAAGCCGCAGCTCATTTTCACTCGTATAAATTGCCCTACTGTAAGCTTATTACAGTGAATACAAGTTTCGTCTTTACTGTACTTAGAATGCAGTCACTTGGATACAATTTATGTATAATTTTTTTCTTAAGAGAAAATAAGATCCCAAACAGGTTAATTTCACAGTAAATACTATTTATATATATATGTAAGAACATTTTGGGAACACCGCGTTCAAACCATAGATATGGTTCAAACGTTCGCACATTTACTGCTTGCATGCAGTCGACTGGAAATAGTATTGTCTTCACGAAGCTCTACGAGGGTTTAAACTCAGGATAAATTCATATCTTGATACAATGAAAAACCAGTGAAATTATTTACCGTTCCGACGCGCTTTTTTCCCCATATTTACTCCTATTATTTTGGCAGACATTTTTCCCGCCATTTTCGTAGACTCACGCAAGAGCTTTACGTTTGAACGCGGTGTTAATTTTGGGCTAAATTGGAAATGTCTAAGTTTACTAATACATGCATGTATACACCCAAGTATTTACTACGATATAGGACAATGGGAACAAAACTCACATCGGAAACCGTTGTTGTTACGTGTCATTCTGCACGAGAGTCTTATAAGCAGGCGATTCCGACTTCAAAGCATTTTCTCAATTGTAATATGACATCAAAACAAGTTACATGAAACAAAAACATTGTGGAATAGACTAGAGGAATAAATATATTCTGAAAATAAAGAAATCTTCAGCATTTTTTTTTCCGACATGAAGCAGCGACAGCTGGGAGACCGAAACCACCGGTTTTTTTGCGCATGCTCGATGCCGACTTCCTATACCGAACCGACAAGTATCGTACCGACCGAATCTACTGATGAGTTGAGTATCATAAACAACCTTTGAGTATACATAATTTTTGAGAAAGATAAAAGCGCGAAAACCAAGAAATAAACCCATTTTATTCGAACCGATGTCAAATACATTGCACACTGTATAAAAAAGGTAATCAAAATTTAGTGTGCTCTTGTGTGCTCAATAGTCAATATTATCATTAGGGTCATTTACTGACGAGAGAAAATAAGTCGCGTCTTGTCGTGAAAACACTCTTATAAATGGTCAATTTCTGTTAAGCCGCGACTTATTTTGGACCAGCTACATTGCAACCTGCAATTGCAGGTCACGAACAATTGACCAGGGCTGAGCAGAGGACTGGGACTAGGACGTCCTATTACTTAAGTAGATAGCTCAAGATCTACGACGTCAAAAATCTAGGACTGCAAGCAGAAGTAAATTGCAGGGTTCGTACACCTCCCATTTAAAATTCCATGACTTCCCATGACCGTTTTTTTTTCAAAATCCATGACCTGGAAGTCTGGAATTTCTGAAATTCGTTAATATTTTAACGATAACAAATATAATATAATAAAAGAACAAAACTCACTTCGCTCTTGCAAAAATCCGTTATATAACAACAATTCATATTATTATGACTGGTAAATTGAAATAAGTAAAATACTTTGTTAATGTTTTGTAAAATTTCAATTTTCCATGACTTTCCATGACTAAAATTGATTTTCCAGGATTTCTGGGCCTGGATTTTGGAATATTGAAATTCCATGACTCTCCAGGTTTTCCAGGACCCGTACGAACCCTGAAATTGGCAATATTTTTTGAAGTGTGCATGCGTCTCTCTCAATTGCTCGTCGTCCATCAAACGTCGATAGCTTCACAACAAGAGTTTTGCAGTCGTGAACACAAGAGCGTAACAAACGGTAATGAATTCAGGGGTCTCCTTAAAATCATTTTTAAAATATGTAAATATTTATAGTTTGAAGGTCAATGTCGTGAATCTAAGTGGATGCATGTTTATTTATTTAGGACGTCCTAGTCCTCTGCTCAGCCCTGACGTCCTAGAAGCGTCGACGTCCTAAAAGCTATCGTAATATGGAGTGCACAGGTTTAATCTGTCATAATAATAAAGATTAGGGTTTTCCTTTTGAATGACACCTTTTTTGTATCATTCCAAGTAAAAATGACCACCAAATACATTAAAAATTGCGCGTCAAATCTACGTACTCAAAAGAAAAAGCAATAATCACTAACGTATCTTGCCAAACAATAGTCAATAAGCTTGAAACAGAAGTGATCACATTTGTCAACAATTTTTAATTTTATCCATATGTTGGGGATTTTAAAGTTAAAATTCATGAATTTTGACTCCAAATGGGATTTATTTTCAATAATTGGAAATATGCAATTTCGACCGGCAATTTTATTCCACTCGTATTTGGTCATTTTCCTTTGTATAATGATAGAAAAAGGTATCATTGGACAACTAAAAGCCTGAATTTTGTTGCTGTGTAAAAAATGTTATATATCGATAAACTAAATATCTAAGCACGTAAACATGCTAAAGTTGGGTTACCTTTTTTATACATGCTGTATAACTTCTGCGTCGTACCAAGGCTATAGGTATCGGTTGATGAAATAATGTTTTATGAAATTATGATTCAGGAATAAAATTCGTAAATAAATTATGTAATGAAATTATATTAAAGTATCTTGCCATATTATATATTACACACTACTACTCTATGATTATAAAATTCATGTTGTAAAAACTTCACTGCGTTCTAGGTCGTTACTTGTTTCACGTATTGTCTCAAGTTTCTGATCAACTTCTTTCTGAACTAAATGTAACTCATCCTCACTCATATCATTGAGTAATAATAACACTGCTGATAGTAGATTTGAGTTCTACAAGGATAAGAAAGAGAAGACAAGTCAAATTCGTGGTTATGCACCACTGCCTATAGCTAGACGTATTGTGTCGTGCAACCTGACCATTCCAGCATTTCCAGGTTACTCCTCGCCTCCCTAATTTTTCGCTGCCAGCGCCTCAATCCTAACCTGGTGAGTACGAGGCCCGATCCAAACGTCGCTCCTTCCATGCCGCCGAACCTAATACAATTCGATACGACACTGGACTACTGGAGCGGTGTTCATTGAAACATCGAACTCAATATGTCGCTCCCAATGTAAATCAGGGTTTAACAAAAATGTATAAAATACAGGACATATAAAATGAATTAAAATAATTTGTGGATGAGA